CATCCAATTCACTTAGAATGAGTAGTTGTGCCTCTTCCACACAAGCGTATTCTTTCAGCCTTCTAGACTATTCAGTAATTACGTTAGTCCTTTCAGGAATTTTTCCAGAATGGTTTAAGGTATAGATTGCATTCCCTTCTCTACTACTCCATGACACACATATGTAATGAAATCACTGAAGAGCCTCCAGCTCTTTGGAGGTGAATAAAAGTCTTCACATTAAACACAGCAGACATATTGATTCTTCTTAATTTTAGTTCCCTGACACTTTCTTATTTTACCATCTGTGTATTTCAGACAAAATTATAAGTGTCAAGGGTAATATGCAGCAATAAACACATTCAAATAAGCTATTCCCTGATTTGAAAGTTAAGGAAGAAAAGAGAAAGGGAAAAAAAGTATAAAATAAATGTTATATGTCCTTATATCACATTGAAATTAGCTTTTAGGGGCATAATACAACATCTTGTCATTCATTGTTTTACCTCAATATAGAATTAGAACATATATTTAGTGAGTTGAAAACTTCTTTTGTTTTACATGGAAAATATCTTATTTTTAATGCAGCATATTCATACAAAAAAAAAAAGAGTGAGGGAATAACTGGAAACTATGACAACAAGCTGCTTTTTATGCAGGGTTGATATTATTTTGTTTGATAATATGATATCTAGAATTTTTTGTCTTTTTAGTTCACCTCAGGCAGGTAAATTGCAACCGCCATCAAAGTTTTCATTAGAAAGCCTATTATTCCCTTGAAAGAAATCACACTCTATGCATTATTCATTAGGGGCAGCAAATCTTCAGAGCAGTCACACAGGCTGCAGTATCACAGAACTATTTAAAATTCTATGTCTTCTTTCTCCATTTCTGCTGAATGCAGTCCTGGTCTAATCTTCATGTATAATGCAATATCTCTGGTTAATTCAGATATTGCATAGCTGAAGAAAACACATATTTTTTATTAGTTCTGGATAAAATAATCTCACTTGTATTTGTCAAATACAAGTAGTTCACTGTGTATGATATTTTGATACCTTTCTATTTTTTGGTTGGTTTTCTTCTGTTTGGTTGGCTTATGTTGGTGCATATTTGTACACATCCTTATGCAGTGGATATCTAAAGAGAGTGTTTTACTGATGCTGTCCACTGCTTACCTCTTAGAGTTTATTTTTTTCCAGGAGTCTACTTTATGTGTACCTTAATGCTTTCTGTACTCACTAAGACCATTTCTGTGTGCTTCCCTCACATTTTCCTGCCAGCTTTATATTTTATACTTTATGGGGCAAACTAGTAATCTCTTCTTTCATATGTGTTAGATGATGCCAGCTTTACAGTGTATTCAAAAGGCTGTTGGAGGTGAGCTAATAAAATAATTCAACTAGATTTCTTGGGTGTGTTGTTTTTTCTCTCTATCCTCTAGATATCTCTTCTAAACAATATAATACAAGATTAGGCAAACCATGTACTTCAGCAGAAGGACCTCAGCATGGAAAGGTACAGACCTTCATCCTGTTTGTGAGTGGGCCATTGACCTTCCCCAAGTCCCTTCTATTTTCTGATTTTTCCCCCTCCACCCAGGACTTACACATGTCATTTCTGCTTACCACACAAATAAGAACACCAGAGCTGTCATTTGCTATCACACATTCAAACACTAGAAAAACCCTCGTCAGGGAAATTCCAGTCAGTAAAAACCCCAAATTCTAAAAATCACAAGTTGCTGATTTTTACCTCTTGTTAGTCACCTCAACTTCTTCTTTGCTTTTTCTCTTACTTTTCCTGTCACTGCCTTTTCCGGCAGCTCTCAGTTCAGCTTCTTTTAAGTGCAAAACCTTTGGGAAGAATTAGAAGGGACTTGTGGCTCCTTCTAAAGCACAGTACAAAATCTGCTGATTTAACCCTTTACCATTTTTCAAATTATTGTATTTGTGTTACCTTAACTGCCAGCAGGGTACAGTGCATCCTTCCTGCCACTTCTGAAGCTAGCTTTGTTATCTAACACGGATGTAATCCCAAAGTACATGTTTAGTCAAGACTAGTTTTTGCTTAAGTTATCAGATTCAGATTTTAACAACAGTCCATTGCTCAATACTATTTTTTAAAATTTCTGATAGTATAACTTATAGCTTCTTTTTCATCTCTGAATAAATAAAAACTTTGAAAAACAAGAGGATATCTATGATGCCACGTGAGCTGCTTAAATGCTTAAAGACAAAGCAAGGGATATCCCACAAAAGATATAGAAACAAATTGTAGAGTTCTATAACCCTATAAATAAAAAAAAAAAAAAAATCAGAGAGGGGAAAAAAGTGCAAGAAGACAGTTATGCAGTAATAACTAGAAGAAAGTACAGTATTATCCCTCCCCTCAAAAGAAGTGGTGATGGTTGTTTGTGGGAGTTTTTTCCCCAGTTTCGAACACAAGCATGAGGTGATGGCAAAATATGTAACGAAATTAAAACCATCAAAATAGAAATTACTCTTTCTAGCCTGAGAGCAAATCTGAAAAAGCAGAAGAAGGACTTGTGGTCTAAATTACCACCATACATAATTTCCAAAACTAAAGCAAATAAATTCCAAATCTTATACACTAAGAAGTTCTGCAGATTCAAGCCACTTGCCTCAAAAAACAATTTTGTATTTTATTATCTAAGTAGACCATAGTGAAGATTTTTATAATACATACATAAAAAATCCCATCACTATCAATACAAAAATACATTTATTAAATAAAAAAATTAAATTAATATTATAGAATTAGGAGGTTTAAAATTAAATTTTCTTCAATTGTATATTAAAATACCAACATTATAATTTTCATCAACCACATTAATTTTGATGCAATACTGACCAAAGACATTTCATCATTTGATGTGATAAAAAACATCTTGAATTACATAAAAGTAAGATCATGTAGAAAAAATTTCAAAATATCAGTACAGTGGTTTTTGTTTTGTTTTGTTTTGTTTTAATTTAGAGAATTTAAATTCTAAATAGTATGAGGATGTAAAACAAGAATACAAGACCTTCATTTCACCCATATTTTCTGAGAGATAGGATTATCTACAGCTCTGAGTCTGGGACTGGAAGGTAAGGTCTTGAACCGAGGCAAATGATTAGTATTCATATTTTGCAGAAGATACATTTTCACATTAAATATACAGACACTCATGTATACTGAATGTCACTAGGGATTAGCATAATATTTCTATTAGTAACGCTAGCTTATCCAACTGAGCGACACTCTGTAGTCAAGAGCAAAGTACTGGAAGGCTGAAAATGAGCTGAAGTGTTTCCAGTATGGGTTAAGGAAGAAGAGTGACCATTTCCACAGGCAATTATTCAGCTTTAACTGGACCTCCCACAAAAATTCTCTGTCCTTACATAACTGATTGAGCTCCTTTCTTTCTGTGTATTTCAGTTATTTCTCCTTTTCTCCATCTTGCTGCTCACTCCAAACTCCACGAAAGGAAATATAAAACTATAATTTTATCATGGAATCAAGAAAAACTGAAATTTTTGCCCTGACACTTGATTGTAAAAATAGCCTTTGTGTGTCAGATATACCTCATTCAATGCAATATAAAATATAAATAATAATCCAGCATTTTATGTTATTACTATTTATTTATAATAGTTATTTGTTATTGCTACTGCAACTGAGCAATTAGCAGAAAAAATCCTTGCTTAAATGGTATATTAATAATTTAACTTTCATCTTTCCCACAGTTGTAATAAATATGGTTCTTCCATGTAGAGATATTTAACATGGTATTAACTGCTCTTTACACAAACATATAAATGGTATATAAAAAATGTAGATTAATATACACAATGGATCACAGAAGGATCACCCCACCCTGGTGTTCTCTCCTTGAAGAGAACAATGAAAAAATTTCTTTTTAAGCAATGGGCTTTGTGTTGGAAAGATATTTTCCAACACAAATATGTATGTTTTTAAATAATGCTATCAAGCTGAAAATTTTAGTTTGAGTCAATCAGCATATTATAAAAGCCCATTAACCTGAGAGAGAAAGGTCGAGACAAATCCATTCATTAGAGGAGGGAAACCAAAAGCAGCAAAGCAAGACAAAGAGCCAGGACAGAAATAGATCAATCTTTAAAAAGTGTCTCTGAAGTGAAAAATCTTGTTTGATCTCTGACTCAAATTTTTTGAGTCAAATTTTATCTGACTGGGTTTTGTTTTTTCTAAATCACTTAGAGGAAAACACAGTGTCTATATACTGCTTTGTACTCTTACAGTTGAAGCAGAATGGAGAACAGTGATAAAAATACTGACAAATATAGTTTTACCCTTGGATACATATTACATATGCATATAGATAGAACTATCTCACTAGAGATACATATTTCAAATAAAATTATTAGCTCATACTTGGAAAACAAGAGGTAAAAAGAACACTTTCTCATGAGACGAAAGAAGAGGAAATTTACTGTGTTGAAATTAGTTTCAGATGAATGTAATATTTATTATCTTAGTTTATTAAGCAGAGAAGTTTAAAACATGATATGTTAGATGTCAGGAATAGCTATAATAAAACCACACTTAGTGACAAAATAAAATTAATTGATTCAACATGTAGGTCCCATCCTGCTCCCTGACCTACAAATGCTTCTGTGTCAAATCAAATCAAATCAAATCAGAAAGAGGGTAAACTGAAACAATTTTTTAAATAATTCTCTCAAATTCCAGGGATGCAGATTTAAATTGTTCTGCAAGGCTAGAGCAGCATAATATAGCCAAACTGGTCTTCCTTGCTCAAGTAGAAATTTGTGATTATAGCTGACAAGATATCAAGAATTCCTCCATATGAACTTGATGGGAAGGGCAGGGCAGGAATATTCAATTCTGTAGCAGAAAAAAATCCATTGGAAATTTTCTAACAACCAAGAATTTCATTTTCTATAACTTAGCTTCATTTACAAAGTTTTCAAATAAAATTGAGCTTAAGTAAACCTGGGCTCCTTGTTCCTTACATACTCTTAGCAAGTTGATGAGGACCCAGAAGAGCAGCAGACAGACTTTCCAGCCCTCAGCTCTGCAACAGGTAGTATGAGGAATATGATTAATCCAGGTAGTGGATGCAAGTGTACTTCATGGAAATCCCTGTCAAGGCATAGAAACATTTTATTTTCATCAGACAATAAACATTTGCATTGAATCAATGTTTTATGCATTATCATGAGCTCAGTAATGTGATGTCAGTTGAATGATTCATACCCTCCACTTCCCTTTCTCTATTTTTATTTATTATTTCATGAAGATTTGTCCAAATAATGTATTTCATTTCTCAGCATAATCCATGTATCTCAAACAAAAGATTTCATTCTTTCCACAATGGGAATAATCCAATACATCATTTATTTCATGGCCTACCAAGACTTACCTTATTCAGCATTCAAATGAATGTTTTTATTTTGGTAGAAGTAGCTCATTATCAAATCTTTACAACAGTTAAGATTCTTATGTGATGGATGACCAGTAATAAGCATTAGACATATTTTTCAAAAAAAAAATTCATTCTATTTCTTCCTGTATTAATCTTCATGTTATCTGACAAACAGATTTTCACTTGAAATCACCTCATCTAAAAACACAGCTAAACCCCATTTCCATTAGTTACTTTCCTTGATTTATCAGTAATTCAAATTCTCAGAAAGCCTTATTTTTGGGAATTCCTTTCCCCACTTCCTTCACAGAAATTTTTAGCAAGCAATCACTGGCCTTATACATATTTTCTTCCCACTGAAAATAGTTCAAAGGGTCTACCTGTGTTTTTCATTTCTTCCTTCCTTGTTTTTCTAGTGGAGATGATTCTGTTAAGACAGTCTGCCAGACAACAATTCTCCCAATGCCACTACTTTAAACATCTCTGCAGGAGAACCATGGGTGTCTGCCACCATCGCACATCCACATCTCATCATCCTACCAACGAGAATCCCTACCTCAACAATAGTTCCTTTGAGGCTGTTATTTGAACATTCCTCCTCCTTTTCTCAGATATTTTTATTGAATAACTTTCCATAAAATCATTACTCTCTGCTGATGACTTCATTTTCATTCTCTTACATCTTGTATATGCATAGGTTTGCAGATCCTTATCATCTAGCCCAATATATAAACAGAATTTAGCTATAAGACCCCTCCTGTGCTCCTACTGAGGTAAAAACTTTCTGTTGATGAATTTAGATATGGGCGCAGCAAAAAAAAAAAAAAAAGAATGGATTTTTTTCTCTAGACTCTAAAATACATGTAGGGAAAATTTACTAAAAACATCCAATGACTAATTTCTGTTTCACATATCCCAGTAAAAACACTCAGGTACTTTTAATTCTAACTGTAAGTTTTATTTAGTGCCTTACGGCTACAGCTTTGATCAGCATTCTTTCTATTTTTTTGTCTTATAAAGAGGTTGTAATGGCATTACACAAGAAAAGTGAGATTGCAAGGATTGTTGGCTGTTGCAAAATATTTATCCAAAAAGCATAAAGCAACTCAATATAGTGAAAGGGGAGATACTCCTTGTTATAATGCTAAAACCATTTGTCACTTTCTGCATAGCATTTCTATGTTCAAGAAGGAATAAGAGTAACCATATCTAAATTCTAACAGTGCCAAGTGATGTTTTTTGCTTTTTCCTTCTCCCTACATAGCCAAACTAATTATGTTTGAAGTTCACAAAGTGTGTGAGAGGCACTGAACAAATGTGTAATTATTTAATTTTTGAAAAGGGTTTTATTTAGAAATATGGGTCCTTTTGAAACGTCTCCTAGTTATTGTCCTAGGAGTCAGACCATGGACTCTGGGGATCATTCAGTTACTGCAAATTTATCTAAAATGGAATTGAAGCCTGGTTCATTAATTAACAGAACATGGGTTAACTTCGGGAAAAACACTGAAGATTCAGTGTAGATACAGTGAACTAGGTCACGTACACTAATTAGAACAGAAATGTCTGTGATACCAAAACAAAAAAAATAACTTTACACTGTATACTTTTTTGAATAAGAAACTTGTATTTTTTATTTTTGAGTAGAAAGTTTTGAAATTTCACAAATTTTATGGAATCAAAATTCTCAGAAGAGCAATATTGCAAAATCATCTAAGAATTATCTGTTCCCTTATGTGTAGCAGTTGTGGACTTTGAGCACAATTCACTATACATCAGTGTTTCTGTCCAAGTTCCTTTTCTAAATAAATATATGAAACTTACATCTGGTAAGTTGATTTTGGTTGGGTTTTGTTGGTTTATTTTTCTTCTTCCAGCATTAATTGCACTCCATTTCTCAATAGTGAACTTCTTCACTGTACTTTGGAGAATGCTGACCCACAGTAATACTGATCTTCAAGAGTGAGGCTACGTTCCCGAGTCCCAGAAAAGGGCATTTCTCTCTCTGTGTGGTGCAGGAGCAAGTCAAATATTTACTGGCATTTTATATGTGTTCCAGTGATTCATCATTCAGTGTGAATCCCCAAATATCTATATATCTCCCTTTTCCAATCTCCGTGTTGCTTCAAAATTCTCTAATTGGTGAGATATCTAAATGTTAAAATCATAACACCTAAATTGTATTGTGGCATATTCAACATCAATTAAAGAGCCTAAGCTTCCCTCCAGATTTTTGTCTCATAATTAAATTGATCTTGATCACGTCTGAATTTTGTATCTAATTATACCAAAAGTAATCTTCAGTACATTTTTGAATGTTCACATTTTGGGAGAATATCATAGTCCACCATAAAAAGACTCTCTTTATTACATCCTCATATTCATGAAGAACTCACAAATTAAAATCTCTGCTTTCAAGAACTTTGTATTATTAAAATCTTAATTTTCTATGTGTGGAAATGCTCCCAAAGGAATAATGCAAATTCAAGACTGCATGAAAATAAAGTTTAAAAACTTCTAAGCATTCCTAGTATTTCTGTAATTTTTACATTTTATTTTCTAGTATTCTATTTCTGTGTTGGTTAAACCTCATGTAAGCATATGCTTCATCTCATCTAAAATAATTTTTGCTCCAGCAGCAAATGCCTTCCAGTAGGCTGACAGTGTTAAAGTGCTGATGTGAAGAGCCCACATACTCAAGTTTTCTGTATTCCAAAGTAATGACACAAAAACTATGAAAAATGTTTCAAAATATTTTTTAAATCTATGATAAAATAATTCTTTGTGGTTTAGGTGTGGTTCTAACTTATACTATTTATATTTTTTCAGCCCCAACCATGCTTATCTTAGTAGGTCCACAATGACATCTTGTGGCTACTCTGAGTTGATGACTCAATGATTAATAAAATAAACATGTCTACTGACTTTCAAGAATCTTTTAGACATGAACAGAAAAGTTATCCTCAATGAAGATCCTGCATAAGACATCTACATGTGGCAGCAGTGCCTGCTCTTTCTAACTCCCGAGCAATCATTCCAGTTGCTCCATTTTTCTGTCACTGGAAAATTAATTAACTTTTGATATAAAAAAAACTGTGAAAGTGGCTACACTACACTGCAAAAGTGACAACTGAAAGTCTTCAGGCTATCAAAATGTGATAGATGAGTTGAAATCTGCAACATTAGGAAGGAGGAAACCAAACCTAAGGGAGTGATTGACTAAGCCAGGTCCAAAATAAATCCTTTTGCACAAAATTCAGAGAGTTCTGGTTTAGTTGTTTTGTTGTTTTTTTTCATAGCTGGATGGACATTACATTACATTAGTTAGCCAGCTACACCTTTTTTTCAGGATCAGCCCTCAAATATTTTGAACAGACATCCATTCTCATTTGCTTCCCTTTCTTTCACACTTTCAAGTATGAATTGCAATAAACTTGGGATATCTATGCTTGCCTAAAGCTATGAAACAAATTTTATGTAACCACGATTGTAATGTTATTTGTCTACAGATTTCTCTGACTTAAACTCTTTTGCTACCTTGAATATCTCTTCAGTGGTTTCTTAATTTCAAGTGAACTCTTTTAGTGACAGTCTTAGGATTCTTTCTTTAGATATTTGTTTTCTAATAATTTGGGAAAAGGACAGTGGTCATGTCTTTTCCTGTCCTTTGCTAGCTCATAGCCTTTTAACTGAAGATTCCTGATAAAAGTTCAGGATTCATTGCATATGTTCATTTTAATATTTCCTCAGATCATATTTGAAAATTTTCAAGGCAGTTGTCTTCTTTTGGGTAGAACAGCAACTTTCCAATTTCACATATTGCAGATTGATATCTCTTCACAAAAATTATAAAAGTATAAATGTCTTCATGGTTCACTGTAGAATTGTCAGCATCATAACTTGGAGTGTTAGTAGATTTCAAAGTTATTTTAAATTTTTTCTCTTACTTTTGAAAGACAGTTTCATAAAGGTAATCCAGAGCCCTTTCCCTTTGAACCAGGTTGTAGTGTATTATAAATACATACATATGCATATGCACAAACAAACACACACACACACATATAGCTATATAACTATATATCTATATATATATGAGCATGCTCATATTGTATATGAGCATGTACATGCTTGAAGCCTACATTCTAGAAGGACTGTCAGGGAATTTTGGAAGCTGATCACTGCCCATCCTTTTTTAAACCTATAATTAGCACAGAAGTGCTTGATTTCCTGGAGCATTATGTGGGGCAAATCTGATTAAATGCTTACTTATGGCTCTTTACTGCACACAGATAGTTTCATACAGGCTTTTGGCTGAAGTAAGGGTCATGCAAAACACAGCATTTGGTCTCAGGGGAAAACCATCATTTGGTTGAAGGGGGAAAGAAAATCATGATATCATTTCCAGCAGTAGAATGCAAAGTTCAGGGAAGGAGAGCAGCTGGAAAGATAGATATGAGCTGGGGAGCTCAGATTTGGCAATGGCTGAACACTCTCACCCAAAGGAATCAACATCAGACTGAAAACAGAATCATCAGTTGCATTAAGAATTAACAGAAGCATGAGGTGAAGGATGAGACATCAAAAGGATTTTGGCAAGAGGAGGCTGCTGGAAGGCTGCAGTACCGCAGTGAACAGTAAAAAGGAGAGGAGGCATGAGAGCACTGTTCCCTCAACTATAGTCAG